CACACACCTGAGCTAGTCCACACACCTGACCTAGCCCACACACCTGAGCTAGTCCACACACCTGAGCTAGCCTGACACACCTGAGCTAGTCTTTGAGTAGAATACCATTAGTAGTACCAATACCACCAATACTACTTCTAGTATGGACAGATTGCCAGTAGTACTACTGGTAATACTGCAGTAGTAGATCAGGTTCTAGTACCAATAACAGCACAAGCAGTAGCAGTAGTACTTGCTCTAATATGAATAGATTTCCAGTAGTAGTACTGGTAATACTACTAGTATTTTAGTAGTAGCAGAGTCAGTAGTACATGTAACCTTTAATGAATTGCTTTGTTGCTGAAATGTGCCGTATAAATACACTTGCCTTGCCTGATACTTGTAGTATCAGCAGATTAGTAGTAGTATTGAGGGTAGTTTTTATTGTACTACCAGCAGCAACAATTAGCAGTACCAAAGTATGAGTAAAACACAAGGTAGCCCTGTATTAGTGCTGTGTCAGCAGTAGCTCAGCAGTGAAAATACTGTGTTGGCTGATTTACAGTACGCTGTGTATTGGTGTTGATGTAATGAGAAGCGTGTGTATAAGTATATAGTACATAGTATAAGTATGAGTAGCGCGTGTATAAGTATATAGCATAAGTATGAGTAGCGTGTGTATAAGTATATAGTACATAGTATAAGTAGCGTGTATATAAGTATATAGTACATAGTATAAGTATGAGTAGTGTGTGTATAAGTATATAGTACATTGTAATAGTATATGATCTGATCAGTTTCTTATTCTCTCTGTTTTTGGAACATTAATATAAAGCTGCTCCTACACACAATACAGCTTATATAACTGATCTGCAGTCAGCTGGAGGAGTACGACTTGTCTGTCTGTCTGTCTGTTATAATCTGCTGGTATTCCACTACTGTCCCTTTAAGGTCAGTAGCACATCACTACTGTCCTTGTAAGGTCAGTAGAACATCACCACTGTCCCTTTAAGATCAGTACAACATCACTACTGTCCCTTTAAGGTCAGTACAACATCACCACTGTTCCTTTAAGGTCAATAGAACCCGATGGTAAAACATGTCCCGCTAGTCCAACGTGTCCCGACGGTCCAACGTGTCTCGATGGTCCAACGTTCAAAGTTCAAAGTTTGCTTTATTGTCAATTCCACAATGTACTGGACATACAGGGGAGTTGAAAAGACGTTTCTCTCTAGTCCAACATATAAACATATAAACATAAAGTGAATACAGTGCAATAGATTAAAAAAACATTTAGACAATATATATATATATATAATAAGAGAAAAAGAACAAAAAAACCATCAATCTGTATTTAGCAGCAGTTGGACATGGGGAGTCTTAAAAGAGAGGAGGGAGAGAGTTCAGAGAGTTCAGCTTCCTAACAGCCTGGTGGACGAAGCTGTTTGAGAGTCTGGTGGTGCGAGCACGGAGGCTCCGGTATCTTCTCCCAGAGGGCAGGAGGCTGAAGAGACTGTGTGAGGGGTGGCTGGAGTCGCGCACAATCATGGTCACTTTGCGGGTGAGGCGAGTGTCGTATATGTCCTGGAGTGAGGCACCAATGATCCTTCCAGCTGTGTTCACTATGCGCTGCAAGGCTTTCCTGTTGTAGTCAGTGCAGCTTCCGCCCCACACAGTGATACAGTTTGTCAGGATGCTCTCAATGGTGCCTCAGTAAAAGGTGCACATGATGGGTGGTGGTGTTCTTGTCTTCTTCAGTTTGCGGAGAAAGTAGAGGCGGCTCTGAGCTTTCTTTGCCAGTGATGTTGTGTTGGCTGTCCACGAGAGGTCCTCACTGATGTCCACCCCCAGGAATTTGGTGCTGCTCACTCTCTCTATATCAGCACCATTGATGGTCAGTGGTGGGTGTTGAGTGTGGCCTCTCCAGAAGTCAACAATAATCTCCTTGGTCTTGCTGTTATTCAGAAGGAGGTTATTGTCTCTGCACCACGTGGTCAGAAAGCTGACGTCCTTCCTATAGTGGGTCTCATCGTCATTGGTGATGAGACCTACCAGAGTTGTGTCGTCTGCAAACTTGACCATGTGATTGGTGCTGTAGGTTGTGGTGCGGTCGTGTGTCAGCAAGGTGAAGAGCAGTGGACTGAGCACACAGCCTTGAGGGGCCCCTGTGCGCAGTGTGATGCTGCTCGAGGTGTTGTTGCCGACACGTACTGCTTGTGGCCTCTCACTGAGGAAGTCCAGCAGCCAGTTACACAGCGAGGTGTTGAGCCCCAGCTGGTGAAGTTTGAAGATGAGTTTTTGTAGGATTATGGTGTTGAATGCTGAACTAAAGTCTATGAACAGCATTCTCACATATGAGTCCTTTGTGTCCAGATGGGTGAGGGCTGGGTGGAGAGCAGAGCAGATTGCATCCTCCGTGGACCATTTGGCACGGTATGCAAACTGGAAAGGGTCCAGGGTGGGGGGAAGAATGGATTTGATATGTGACATGACTAGCCGTTCAAAGCACTTCATGATTATGGGGGTCAGTTCCACCGGACGGTAGTCATTAAAGCAGGACGGAGTGGATTTCTTTGGCACAGGTATGATGATGGTGGCCTTGAAGCATGATGGTACAACAGCTTGTCTCAGAGAAGTATTAAAGACATCCGTGAAGACGTCCTTAAGCTCCTCTGCGCAGTCCTTCAACACACGACCAGGGATGTTGTCTGGACCTGTTGCCTTGCGGGTGTTGATAGTGGAGAGTGTCCTCTTCACGCTGGCAGCAGACAGGCACAGAGCCTGATCGTGGGGAGGATAGTCGAACGTGTCCCGATAGTCAAACGTGTCCCGACAGTACGTGTCCCGACGGTAAAACGTGTCCCGACGGTACGTCTCCCGATGGTAAAAGGTGTCCAGGTAGTATGTGTCCCGATAGTAAAACGTGTCCCGACGGTACGTCTCCCGATGGTAAAAGGTGTCCAGATAGTATGTGTCCCGATAGTAAAACGTGTCCCGACGGTACGTGTCCCGACGGTAAAACGTGTCCCGACGGTAAAACGTGTCCCGACGGTACAACGTCTCCCGATGGTACAACGTGTCTTGTTTTCCATCACTGGACAACCACGGCCACTCTGAACTCAAAACATCCTTTTGAAAGCTGAAAGAGGCAGAAAGTTTACTTTTATTTTGTCTATGGTTTAATAAACATCTTTAATTGAACATGGTTAATAGTCCTTTAGATAAAAGATTTGTGTTTTTGAGCATTTATAACTTTTAAAAAGTTAATGAACTACTGCTCAGCTTTCTGGGGTTTATAACATTCAGTTTCAGGGTCCTGGTATCGAACTATCTGATTATCAGCTGAACAGACCACAGTGTAAAGCACTTCAATCAATGTTTACAGTTCAATAATGAAGCTACAGGATTCTCCTGTCGTGTGACACACACAGTGTCTGAATGGTGCTGTTTCTATCGGTTAGAAGTCTTATTCTTGAAGGAGAACATTAAGTGGTGACGTCTCTACAGGAGTGAGGCTGCAGCCGTCACAGTCTCTCATGTTCCAGAGAAACAGATCAGGAACAGATATTTGCTGCAGCCTGAGGTCTCAAACTAAACAGGATGTTTTGCTTCCTGATCACATCATCCTGATTAAAAAGTGATTAAAAAGCAGAGCGGCGGATGCTTCCTCTCTGATGTTCTTCCTCGGCTTCATAATCTGGTTTCTGTTAACCTCATGAACCTCCACCATCAAACACACAGATTAACGGCCAAATGAATTCCATCCGTGTCTTCATTAGTGGAGGTAAAATAATCTTGTTTATTCTTATTCAGCTAGTTTGGTTCTCTGAAAGCAGTTTTAGGATTTATTTGTTGAACCTGAATGAAGGTGTTGTGAATAGAAGTGTGCTCTTATTTTGAAATACAGGCTGAATTAAAATCTCTTTAAAAGCAGCTTTACTGAATAAATTAATCAGCAAAGTGAATTCTGCAGTTAATGTTCAAATGTAAAATTGACATTTAATGCAAGTTAAATGTCGTCACATTGTTTTTTAACAGATAAAATCTTTAAAAATCATTTTGGATCAGATATAAAACACATGGTCACAAAGCTGAGAACACTTTACTGATCAATTAATACTTTAACTACATTTATATATTTTTACTGCAGTAAAGGATCGAGTACTTCTTCCACCACTGTGTACAAGTATAGGTTTCTCAATAACAACAATAATTAATAACCTGCATGTTCTCATCTTTAACTCTTTCATCATAAATCTAAGACAGAGAGGTGAACCCTAAGAGGTGAACAGGTGAATAGGTTAAGAGGTGAACAGGTGAACCCTAAGAGGTGAACAGGTTAAGAGGTGAACAGTTGAACAGGTTAAGAGGTGAACCCTAAAAGGTGAACAGGTTAAGAGGTGAACCCTAAGAGGTGAACAGGTCAACAGGTTCAGAGGTGAACCCTAAGAGGTGAACAGGTTAAGAGGTGAACAGGTTAAGAGGTGAACCCTAAGAGGTGAACAGGTGAACAGGTTAAGAGGTGAACCCTAAGAGGTGAACAGGTTAAGAGGTGAACAGGTTAAGAGGTTAAGAGGTGAACAGGTGAACAGGTTAAGAGGTGAACCCTAAGAGGTGAACAGGTTAAGAGGTGAACAGGTTAAGAGGTTAAGAGGTGAACAGGTGAACCCTAAGAGGTGAACAGGTTAAGAGGTGAACAGTTGAACAGGTTAAGAGGTGAACCCTAAGAGGTGAACAGGTTAAGAGGTGAACAGTTGAACAGGTTAAGAGGTGAACCCTAAGAGGTGAACAGGTTAAGAGGTGAACAGGTTAAGAGGTGAACCCTAAGAGGTGAACAGGTGAACAGGTTACGAGGTGAACCCTAAGAGGTGAACAGGTTAAGAGGTTAAGAGGTGAACAGGTTAAGAGGTGAACAGGTTAAGAGGTGAACAGGTGAACAGGTTACGAGGTGAACCCTAAGAGGTGAACAGGTTAAGAGGTGAACAGGTTAAGAGGTGAACCCTAAGAGGTGAACAGGTTAAGAGGTGAACCCTAAGAGGTGAACATGTTAAGAGGTGAACAGGTCAACAGGTTCAGAGGTGAACCCTAAGAGGTGAACAGGTGAACAGGTTAAGAGGTGAACCCTAAGAGGTGAACAGGTTAAGAGGTGAACAGGTGAACAGGTTAAGAGGTTAAGAGGTGAACAGGTTAAGAGGTGAACCCTAAGAGGTGAACAGGTTAAGAGGTGAACAGGTCAACAGGTTAAGAAGTGAACTCTAAGAGGTGACCAGGTTAAGAGGTGAACAGGTGAACAGGTTAAGAGGTGAACCCTAAGAGGTGAACTTAAGAGGTGAACCCTAAGAGATGAACAGGTGAAGAGGTGGACAGGTGAAGAGGTGAACAGGAGAAGAGGTGAACAGGTGAACAGGTGACCCTTCTGGCTACGAGTCTCCCCCATTTGGGGGCACTCAGGCTCAGCACCCCCGAAAATATTGTTCGGAAAATAGCCTTATTGTTCGCCAGTATTGTGGATTTGTCCAGTTTTTTTTCCGGATTAAACAGCAACGTATGGGCAACACTATCATATAAGTCACTTTTTACACACTCCAAACACAACTATAGACTACTAGTATAAGCATCTAGAAAACGTGGCATAAAATCATGAAATCCTGGGCAGAAATCGGCGTTATGTCTGCCTCAAATCAATATTTTCATCATGAAGCTAGCAGCTAGCCGGCTAATCCGGACATCATTTAGCATTAGCATCACGCAGAGAACGCATACATACCGTCGGTTTTTATCTCCATGGAAGCACCACAACGCTGTGACTGGACAACGGTCCAATGCCACTGGTCTTCACCGGAAAAAAACTATGGTTTTTGGTCAGGTTTTATGAAATATTAGTACATAAAACATCGAAAATAATCCGTTTTCGAGCGACCGTCATGGCCGCCAAGTGCATCCTGTTTACAGCCGAGCTGTTTCCTGTGGAAGGGGGGTCAACCCACCTCGGGCCAGCGGTCAGACTTTCGGCCAATGGAATTTTACGCTCGGGGATACGCGGCACTTCTTGCAACTTTACTGGCTCAAACTTCTGTCAATCAACACGCGCTTTTACACCCGCATTCCTGAGACTCTGACGCGTCTAAGGAGGGCTCATTGACTGAAATCGACCGATGATAGGCTGAGCTACAGCCCCATACACACAGACCAACTGAGAAAATCCTATGGATGAGAGCCAGAAACATGCTCCGAGAGGACCCTTGCTCTCAAAATCATTCTAAACAGCTGTATTTGGATGTATTGAATAATATGAGTGATAAAAAAGTGAAATATATAGTATATAAAATTAGAATAGAGCATGACAGAGAAATGAGCCTTCGGCTTGAAATTCTGTACTCAGACCTCCTATTATGCTGGCCTGCTTCACTCAATCTAAGTAAAATTAGCTTAGAGAGACCACAACCCTGTTGTGCTATGACTGTGGAGTATTTGTAGGCTTCACTCTGCAAAACATTTTTCAATGAAAGTGCTTTTTTTTCAGGCGAACCTGGAACTTTTTCAACTTGAGCTGTGCCATAAGTGTATCAGTTATTAACCAGTAACATATACACAATATTTACACAATTCAACACATCTCACAAGTGTTACCTGTATTGACCATCAAAATTATTAAAATAAACCTTTTAGTTAGAGCTGGAGACTCTCTTGAGTATGGGTATGCAATTTTTGAGCAGAGGCCTAAAAATAGGGCTAGTAGTTAAAAGGTTTTAAGAGGTAAACAGGTGGACAGGTGAAGAGGTGAACAGGAGAAGAGGTGAGCAGGTGAGCAGGTTAAGAGGTAAACAGGTGAAGAACTGAGTAGGTGACGCGGTGAACAAATGAAGAGGTGAACCGGTGAACAGAACTTCAGGGATCAGGGAGGCGTGACAGTGGAGGTGAGGGCCGGTTATATATCAGCAGGGCTGACGAGGTAAAGTGGGACCAGGTGAGCAGGTGGGAGGAGAAGGTCAGGTGACCGGGACAGGTGTGAAAGTGTGAGGGCCTCTGGTGGACAGGTAGAGAATGGCAGAGAAGTGGGAATGTCTCTTTGTGGTCGTTTTGTGTCTCTTCCTGTTTTTTACGTGTCTCTTTGAGAGACATGTTGTCGGTGAAGGCCAGGGGGCCCCCAACACTTCGGGCCCCCTCAGTAATCCATCGTGTTCCAGTTGCTAAAGGAGATAAGAAAGGAAGCATTGAATGACCCTTCTCCAGTTAGAGGACACTCAGAACCTTCCTGAGACAGAAACAGTCTGGTTTCTACCTCATATGTTTAACGTCTGTTCTTTGGCTCCTCCCCTCAGACCAACAAGGCAGTGTCGAGAGGAGACTTCCACCTGGCGAGCTCCAGTTCAAGGCGGGTTCTCTTCCTGGCGGTGCTGTCGATCACCATCGGGACGGGTATCTATGTGGGCGTGGCCGTGGCGCTCATCGCCTACCTCTCCAAGAACCACCACTGGTAATCCTCGTCGTCAGGGAGGAAACATTACCCATCAGGCACCGGGAATGTGTTTGGGATCTTCACCTGGAGTCTCAGGCGAGAGATTCCACGACCACTTCCTGTTCGTCAGGTGACTCTGGAGTTCAGAACCAATCAGAACACAGGATCTCTGGTGGGCTCTACTTGGTTTTAATGACCATTTGCAGTGTGATTTTTTGTATGATTTGTTTTTACGATGTTTACTTCTTTATTTGGTTCATCTTAATGAGACTTTGTACTTCAAATATACTCTGAAACAATAAGAACATTACTTCATATTCTAGTCATCACATCTTATTCTGGATTATTTCTTGAAACAGTTTGAGGTTCAAGAGGCTTCAGAGATCAGTTGTATGAATATTATATATTACATATAAATGTATAAGTATAAATGTATTTAGTTTTGCTATCGATAATGAGACAATAAACAGGATATACCTTCAAGGACCTTAATGTATTGTCACATAATGTCAAATAACGACAAATAAAGGCTAAACTACCGCAGAATCCGCACCAAAACAGTGGCAGCTTGCAACAGGAAGTGCCTCTACTAGCTGCCGCTGCCACGATGTGAGCCAGCTCCTACTGCGCTACCAGACGCCATTGTTTGCTGACTTCTGACCTGTCGCCTCCGCACATTGCGCAACCTTAACGCTGGCAGCCTCGTGGGGAGGGGAGGGGGGAGCTGCGCTCATGTGATTGGTTGAAAATGAGAATGTTGAAAAAAACGCATTTCCGAATCCACAAATAAATGTGTAGCAATCCACAAACAAATGCATACAAATCCACAAACAAATAGAAAAATCCACACAGAAATACATACAAATAAAGAAATATATTTGTGATTATTTTTTTTACATTTATATAAACCGTAATTTATTTATGTGTGCATTGGAATGTATTTGTGAATCTTTCTGTTTGCATTTGCAATTATTGAGACTGATCTGACCCCATCATAATCAAACGCTCTGCAGTCTGTAGACAGGAGGGATTGACGGTGACGGAGTGAAGGGGGGTTCCAACCCGGTGTGTCACCCAGGGAGGGGGGCAGCAGCAGCAGGAAGTGACGCCACACAAACAGCTGTTCACCGCTCGGTTCTTGTGTTAAAAATGTCTGCTTAATAATAAAAAAAACTGCCTTAACATGCCATAAAATAATTGTCGGCGTTAATGAATGAATGCGTTAACGCGATAATAACGCGTTAATAACTTGCCCAGCACTAATATATAAATATAAAGACCTTGTAACAGTGTGTTTGCAGCAGTAATGCATCACAGTGGATGAAGGATGTGAAAGGTTAAAGGCTCACCTGTAGTCCCCCCCCACACAGGTGAGCTCACTGCTGGAGGCTGCTTCTCTTTACAATGATTAAATATGATATCATGTCTTTCCAGCAGCAGCGACCTCCAGCGGCTGAACGTCAGACTGCAGTTTATCATTAGAGCGTCGTAACCATAGTTACACAGTAAATACACTAAAACATGACATCATCACCTCATCATTACATTAATGTTGATACAACTTGTGAGTTTAATCCCGGAACGTTCTGAGCGGAGGATTTTTCAGGCGGAACAAAGGATTTTATTTTGAAACGCTTGACCGGAAGTCACCTCTCCGTCTGTTTTTTTCAGGCGGCGGTTTGTCGTGTCGGTGCTCCGTTACTCTCCGGTTCATTACGGTGGTTTAACGGTGTTAACACATTCATGGAGGAAACGTGAGACAGCAACCGGAGAGGAAGAGGAGGAGGAGAACTTTTCCCGCCGTAAGAGAACTTACGTTGACGTCTTCCAGTTACCGGAGAGACGAAACGTTCCGGTCATATGAAACATTTACATTGTGTGAGTGTGTGTGTATGTGAGTGTGTGTGTGTGTTGTGGTCTTTTGTTACCATGGTGAAGCTTCTTTATTTATGTGGTACTTGTACTTCATTTATGTGGTACTTGTACTTCATTAGTACAGAAGTATTTAGAAGTTGTACTTATGTATAAGTAGTAATATCACAGTGTAGAAATACTCTGTTACAGGTAAAAGTACAAAAGTATTAGCATCAAAATATACTTAAAGTACCAGAAGTACTCTTGATGCAGACTAATATATACATGAATATTATATGTGTATTTCCTCTACAGGTGTGTCCTGCGTTGTGATGGAGGAGGCGGAGCTTAACCACTACGTCTCCCAGCTGAAGGGGGAGTTCGACAGCTGTGACACGACGGCCACCGGCTTCCTGGACCGAGACGAGCTGACTGAGCTCTGCAGGAAACTGCAGCTGGACGCACACCTGGTGGTGGACACGCTGCTGGGAGGAGGCTGCTACAACAGGGTAAGTGGTGCTGGTAATGGTCACTGTTACCAATCACTGTTACTAGTCACTAGTTACTGGTAACTGCTACTAGTCACTGTTACTGGCTACTAGTCACTGTTACTAGTTACTGGTAACTGTTACTAGTCACTGTTACTGGCTACTAGTTACTGGTAACTGTTACTAGTCACTGTTACTGGTAACTGTTACTAGTCACTGTTACTAGCTACTAGTTACTGGTAACTGTTACTAGTCACTGTTACTGGTAACTGTTACTAGTCACTGTTACTGGCTACTAGTTACTGGTAACTGTTACTAGTCACTGTTACTGGTAACTGTTACTAGTCACTGTTACTGGTAACTGTTACTAGTCACTGTTACTAGCTACTAGTTACTGGTAACTGTTACTAGTCACTGTTACTGGTAACTGTTACTAGTCACTGTTACTAGTTACTAGCTACTAGTTACTGGTAACTGTTACTAGTTACTGGTAACTGTTACTCGTCACTGTTACTAGTCACTGTTACTAGCTACTAGTTACTGGTAACTGTTACTAGTCACTGTTACTAGTCACTGTTACTAGTTACTAGTTACTGGTAACTGTTGATGGTCACTGTTACTTCCTCGTGGCTTCATGTTTTCAGGTTGTCCGTCTGTCTCATGAAGGTGATATCTCAGAAACACCTTGAGGAAATGTATTTAAATTTTGCTCCAACATCCATTTAGAATGTTAAAGTCACTGTGACCTCACAAATAATTTATTTATTTATTTATCCTACTTGTTATTCTGCCCCCAAGTGGCCAAACAATGAATTGCATTGTCTTTGACGTTCAGGTGAACTTTGAGGAGTTTAAAGAAGGCTTTGTGGCCGTTCTGTCTCGCTCTCTGGACTTCAGCACATCAGAGGACGACAGCAGCTACCTGGAGCCAGGTAAGACACGGGGGAGGGACCGTATTGGACACGGGGGAGGGACCGTATTGGTGCCAGGTAAGACACGGGGGAGGGACCGTATTGGTGCCAGGTAAGACACAGGGAAAATGTGAAAAATGACCGACAATATAAAAAATATTTTATAAAATGTTATGAAATATGTAAAAAAAACAGCAACGAGCCTCACTATTGTTCCTTCATCACCATAAACACGCTGTAGTTTATTCTGACTCAATCACACATACAAATACTCACTACAGCACCAAATGTGGATCAATCCACCGCTGAAAATAGTCCCCAAGAAAGTCTATTTTTCCTGCTGTTTGTTTGATAAAAACTTCAGTCAATGCTGATGAAACTGTCTGTGTTTTTAAAGATTGACGTCTTCAGTGGGAACCAATGAGATTGGAGCTGAGACAGACAGACAGGAAGTCAGACAAAGTTGAGAGACGGACTGACATGTTGTTGGTTTTAGATTCAAACATGAGATTGTTTAGCAAGAAGAAAAATACAGAACAAAGTGTTTTTGTTCATAATCTTTCTTGTTCAGATGGAGAAACTTGAGTATTGTTGTTAGTTCTCTCTGTAAGACGACAAGCTAATGACTTCTGAGTCTGGTTCTATTGGTGCTATGCTAAGCTAACATTGTAGCATCTCCATCAACTCTTTAAGATAACGTCCTCTAGGAGTAAATCAATCTTCAGAACTGGTGGATTTGAGTTTAACGTGCGGCCATCTTTGTCCCAGTTTGTCAGCTGAGTGTGTTGTGATCTCCATGCTGGTCTCGGTCTACTTGAAGTCCTGGTTCTGCTGCAGAGGATTCCAGTGTGACGGTCGTTATTTGTCTTCCAGTTCTCCTCAGTGACTCCTCCGTCTGTCTCTGTCTCTTCTAGTTGTTCCAGAGGAGGTGAAGCCAAAATTCGTGAAGGGAACGAAGCGTTACGGCCGTCGCTCTCGGCCCGACGACGCCGCGCTGCTGCTGACCGGCGACCCGGAGAACCCGTCAGCGTCCAGAACCGAGGCGGAGGACTCGTCACCGACGGGCGTCCGCAGGGCCAAAGTGAGACGCTCGACGTCTCTGGAGAGCGTTGAGGTGAGACCTCCTCCTGCTCCTCCTCCTGCTCCTCCTCCTGCTCCTCCTGCTCCTCCTCCTGCTCCTCCTCCTCCTGCTCCTGCTCCTCCTGCTCCTCCTCAGGTTTCAGAGCACTACCTCTGTGGAACTCGTGAGCTGAGTTCAGTTTGTGGATTTATTGGATCAGCCGTGATGTCACTTCCTGTAACTCTGTGTCAATCACAGTAGCCCCGCCCTAAAGTATCCCCTGCTTTATGGTCTGTGTGACTCTAAATGGACCATAATGTACTAAATGAACATCATGCTGTATTGAAGAAGACTTGAAACTAGAGATTGAGACCATAAACTCATGTTTACAATGTTTACTGAGGTAATAAATCAAGAGAGAAGTAGAGTCATTTTCTCATAGACTTCTATACAACCAGAGGAGTCGCCCCCTGGTGGACACTAGAGAGAATGCAGCTTTAACACATGAAGCTTTGAAGACCTTTAAAGAACCGGAGGTTTCCGTCTGGTTTATACTTTATAACCAAAACACCCACAGAACACAGTAATATTTAGATATTCCTCTCTGGTGTCACTGTGAATCTTGTCTTATCTCCACCACCTTGTTTATATCAGGAACCCTCGTCATCTTTCTGTCACCATGATGTCATCACGGTGCTGTGTGACCTCTGACCTCATCACTGCTGCTTTTGGAGTCAAAGCTTCTTCCTCCTGTTTGACCTCATCGGAGGAAGATAATGTGAAGGAGAAGCTGGTCTCACCATGAACACACACACACACACACACACACGTACACACACACACTCATAGAGAAACACACATAGAGACACACACGCACACACACACACACTCAGAGAAACACTCACTCGAGGCTCATTGCGTGTGTGTTGGGTTTAGTCGGTTTCAAATATCAGATGTGCTGTGATTCTGCTCCAGTTTCTGCTGTGAATACCTGAAGGAGGAGAGGAGGAGGGGGGGGGGGGGGGGCTGGCTGGAGGAGGTTTCTGTGGTTTTGGGGCGTTGGAGGATTGTCAGGAAGTGGGTTTGTGAGGAATGTTGTGCTGCAGACGCTCTGAGCTGAAGAAGAATGTTGAGTTTTCTCTGAGTCAAGTTCTTTAAAACAGACAAACTGCTTCTGTTCTATTCTGACTCCTCCTCTTCTGCATCACACACACACATATACACACACACATATACACATTGTTTTCTTCATTAAAAAGATGCCTTTGAGTCACTCAGTGGTTGATGAGATGCTGTTGGTGTTGAAGCCTTAAAGACGGTGAACACTGAGGGTTAATCAGTGATCAGCTGAGAGGTCAGAGGTCACTGAGTCCATCAGGCTGAAGTTCAGCTGCTCCTTTAAAACAATCTGCTTCAAACACGGTGGAAGAGTCACAGGTTCAGTTCTACATGCTGAGCTCTTTAGGGCGACACGAGGCCTCTACACACACACACACACACAGAGAAACACACACACACACACACACACACAGTGAAACACAAAGACACACACAGAAACACACACACACAGTGACCTCCATGTTTTTCCTCTGCAGAGCCTGAAGTCTGATGAGGAGGCAGGAAGTCAGAAGGAGAACATCCAGCCAGACCTTCAGAGTAAAGGTCCTGTCTGCTGTGAACACTTTGATAAAAAGTCAAATACAGAGACTGTAAACTACGACTCCCATGATGCAATGCCACACCCAATCACAGAGCTTAGAATTGTGTTTGAACGTTTGTATGAATTCAGAGACTTCACCCCCCCGACCGGCTTCTGCTCCACAGCAGCAGCAGCTGAGGCTCATGGGTAACGTAGTATTCTTAGCTGGCGTGTACATTGTGTGGTACTGGGATGTACTGTGATCTGTTCTTCAGTAACAGTACTAGTACCGCTGTGTAGGAATACTCTGTAACAGTAAAAGTCCTGCATTCCACATCTTAATAAGCATCAGATGTACTTAAAGTATACAGTAAAAGTACTCATGATGCATCAATAATACTTATTATAATAGTGATGCATCATGAGTTCATCACTTTGAAGGTGGAGCTTTATATTCACTTTATATACTGCTGGTAGTTTAATCTGTAATACATCATGATGGGTGCAGGTCCTCAGCAGCAGCAGCAGCAGGAGGAGGAGGAGGAGGAGGAGCTGGGGGTCGGAAGAGGAGATCAGCTGGGCCTTCAGCAGCTCAGCACAGAGGTGAGGACCCACAGGAGGAAGTTATCTGTGATGTCATGAGGTCATCAGTAACTGATCAGACGTTCAAACAGGACCTGGACGGCAGAGCCAGCGTCTGGGACTTCCAGAAGGTTCTGTGTTGCTCCGCCCCCTTCTCCTGCTCCACCCCCATACGATCAGCTGACCTGCAGAGGGCACCACGGCAGGTCAGACGCTCAATTCATGTACAAGTACACGTAGTAGAGTGAGGGTGAAGTACTGCACTGAGCATCAATATAAAGATATCACTAAGAGATGATTTATGACTATATCAATA